TGGTGTGGTCCCTGTTAAACATGCTCTTGAGTCTTTTAAACAACAGCTGAGTTATTCTTGAACAAACCCAGGGAAACCTCCTAGGCAACAGACAACAGAGGGGTATTCAAATCTAAAACGTTTAATGCTTCTGGTCGGAGCAAACAATCAGGTGAATTTAATGCTTCCAGTTGGAGGAAACCATCAGGCGAACAAGAAATGCCGTGTTTTCCCGGCTGAGACAGAATGTGTGATCAGTTCATTTTACAGGGGGAGAAATTCCAGACACAGGCTGGGGTGGGGTAGGGGGGGAGTCTCAAATCCCCCTTATTTCAACCTGTGGGGAGACCATTGTATTGCCAGTTGAGGGAAACACCACTCGGAATGAGGCCCTTCTAGATGAGTGGACGTGCCCAGAGAATGCAGTTTCTGCAAAGGAAAAGTCAGAGGGAAACAGCATCCACGCTTCTCTCCAGATGCATGGTGTGTTCAATAGTGATGGGCGTCCTCACAGGATGGAGTCTGGGGTCTTTGGATGAGAAGCATTAAACTATCAGAATAACCACTGACTTTTATTAAGAGCTTTCTGTGTGTTGGGCACTGGGCCCAGAACTTCACATCCACTCTCGTTTCGTCCCACTACAACCCAGAGAATGAGGTAGGCACTATTCTATCCCCATTTTACAGATGAGGATGTTGAGGCACAGAGAGGTTAAGTCACCTGCTGAAGGTCACACAGCTCATGTGAAAGGATGGCTGGGGCTTGAATCCCACCTTGTTGAAATTTTAAGACTCGGGCTCCTAAACTCAGTGCCTAGGCAGATCCTATTGCTAAAGGGATATTTGTGTCCTGGCCACAGTAGGCTAATGAACAAGATGGAGAAAGAAGCCATACCCAGAGGGCTTCCAGCCCTGAGGTTTGGGGAAATTGAGAAGCCAAGAGCTCAGCATCTCCTTCCTTGGATTTTTAATCCCAAGCCTCTCAAGGGTTGAGGAGAGTAGCTGTTGGTTGCTGATGCTCCAGCGTGGGCCCCAGGGACCTCCAGCACGGGAGGGGAACCGTAGCAGATGACACTGTGGTCATCTGCTGCTCCTGTGGCCCAGCTCTCTTTGTCTGTTGGGTCACTGGCCCTCCCCCACCCCTCTGTTGCTTCTGGAAGAAATGTCAATCACAGGGCTCCCAGTTGCTTAGCCAATATGTCCACAGGAGTGAGCACTGCCCAGGGCCACAGGATCGTTTCGTCCCACTACAACCCAGAGAATGAGGTAGGCACTATTCTATCCCCATTTTACAGATGAGGATGTTGAGGCACAGAGAGGTTAAGTCACCTGCTGAAGGTCACACAGCTCATGTGAAAGGATGGCTGGGGCTTGAACCCCACCTTGTTGAAATTTTAAGACTCGGGCTCCTAAACTCAGTGCCTAGGCAGATCCTATTGCTAAAGGGATATTTGTGTCCTGGCCACAGTAGGCTAATGAACAAGATGGAGAAAGAAGCCATACCCAGAGGGCTTCCAGCCCTGAGGTTTGGGGAAATTGAGAAGCCAAGAGCTCAGCATCTCCTTCCTTGGATTTTTAATCCCAAGCCTCTCAAGGGTTGAGGAGAGTAGCTGTTGGTTGCTGATGCTCCAGCGTGGGCCCCAGGGACCTCCAGCACGGGAGGGGAACCGTAGCAGATGACACTGTGGTCATCTGCTGCTCCTGTGGCCCAGCTCTCTTTGTCTGTTGGGTCACTGGCCCTCCCCCACCCCTCTGTTGCTTCTGGAAGAAATGTCAATCACAGGGCTCCCAGTTGCTTAGCCAATATGTCCACAGGAGTGAGCACTGCCCAGGGCCACAGGACTGAGTGACTGCCCGGGGCCAGTCAGAGCCTTCCCTGGGATTTGAGATGGAGAGTCTCTTTCTGCCTTAGAAACTGAGAGCCCTGTGGTTGTAGGCTAGGGGCCGCCAGCAGTCACTGTTCCCTCCAGATGAGGAGAGGGCAAGGTCAGCGTGCAAACTGACATAGATCCAAGAGGCCTAGGTGAGGCTGAGGATGGGCACCAGAGCCTGAGGACACTGGGCTCCTGGATGCAGCTGTACCTGAAGCAAGCCCCACCCTGGGCATCCCAGTTACTGCAGACAGGGAATTCCCGTTCTTGCTTAAGCCTGTTTGAGCTGGGGCTTTCCTGAGGGAGATGAAGACAGCAGGCTCTCAAAAAGATAGGCATAAGGCTCCTCATTGCTCCTGTTAAGGCAAAACCCAAAAACACTAAAGGCAGGTCAGATCCGACTGCAGGATGCCAGTGGTGACCTCTGACCTGTTACCTGTTTGCAGGCCCAGGAAATGAAAGGAGAAATGTCCTCAGACCCATGCCCCTCCCATGCAGGAACTTAAAGTCTTTCAATATTGCAGCTGGTACTGAAGATCAGATTTGCCCCGAGTGCAACAGCGACAAAGTCATAGACCCTACCCCACGGGGGGGTCCTGATGCATATTGAGAGCCTGGATCCAGCCTTAGCTGAAGCAAGACCTTTTAGACTGGTCAGTTACAAGTGCCCATGAATGGTTACCCTTTTTTGTTTAAGCTGCTGGGAGGTGACTTACAACCCAAAAAGACATAATTAAACAGGAGATTCCCAGGAGACAAAGGGACCTTCAGAGAATATAAAGATAGTGAGAACTGCTTCATCATTGCCTGGAATTCAGCAAAAACTCTGGGCCTTCCACTGTCTTCAAGTCAAGGGTGGTCAGGATTAGATCTTCCAGCCACATGCTGTGAAAATGCATTTCACATCCACGGTGGGTGGCTCCCTACAGAAAGTGGAGCCTATAACTTATATAACTGTTTGCCAGCATATCCTGGGACCCAGGGCATCATTGTAGGCTTAGATGCTAGAGTGTATACCCATCATTTGTGCTTCTTAGGGAGGGGAACCCTAAGAGTCTTGGGAGCACCCACCTTGTGCTTTTCAGACCAGGTGGTGGGGACAAGCATGTGGTCTGGGCAGGCCCATCACGGTACCTCCTCCACATACAGTGATTGGTCCAGACTGAACACAGACCCTGCACGCCAACCAGTGTTCTCTGTTCCCCCCTGGCAACCGTGATTGGTTCAGGGATGAGCCTGGGACTCAAGCAGGCTGATAAGACTGAATTCTGGGAGGCTGGATGGAACTTGGTCAGGAGACAGATGCTCTTCTGCACCCCAGCTGCAGGAAAGGGAAACTAACAGTGCCAGGGTCACCTGAGAAGGAGGCCACCCCAGGGAAGCTGAACCAGAGATGGAGGGGGCACTGAGCCCCCAGACCTGAACAGGGTCCGCCCACCCCTTGACTTCTTGTACTTGAAGCCTGGTCATAGATGATTCTGTCCTCGACACCCCAAGAGCCGACGGGGGCCTCCAGACAGCCCAACTTTGGCAGCGTGCAGACCCAGGGCTGCAGCCCATGCACCCCATCATCTCCAGCCTCATCCCTCTGCCTCCTTTCAGCTCCTCCAACACCCGCCTCCCATGTCTCGGGACCTTGTGTCTGTGCCTGCAGCCAGAAGCCTTTCTCTCCCGCCCACTTTGGTCAAATGCCACCCAGACCACAGAGCAGAGAGCCATCCAGGAGACATTCCTGGGATGACAGACATGTCCCATAACTGCGCCTTCCAGCACAGCTGTCACGGGCCATGTGGGGCTGCTGGGCACTCGAGATGTGACTAGTGTGACCGAGGAACTGAACTTTTAATTTTATTTAATTCTAATCACTATGTTTAAATTGCTGTCTGTGGCTAGTAGCTGTCGAATTGGAGAGTACAGACTTAGGGCCTAGCTACTCAAAGTGTGGTCCGGGGACCAGCAGCGCAGTGTCTCCTGGAGCTTGTTGGAGATGCCTCAAGAGCTAAGCAATCCGAGTCTGCGTTTTGATGAGCTCCCCCCACCCCTAGGTGATCATGTGCACACGGCCTGGATCTCAACTCGAGTGTCACTTCCCAGAACCTCCCCCAACCCCCTGCACCCTCACCCACCCTGTGCCCGCCCTGGTCCTGGGCTCTGACAGCATCCTGTGTTCAGGCTGCCAGCACCTCCTGGACTATGACCTTGGGGCGAGGACCTTCATGGCATCATCACTGCTCGTGTGTGGCTATGTGGTCCCCTGCTTCTGGATGGCGGACCCTGTCTGCCTGGTCCCTCTAGGACCACCAGTTGCCCACCGAGGGCAGCCTTGAACTGGCACTCCCCCGAGGCAATCAGGGTCAGAGCAGCAGGTTCCCCCACACGGACGAGACAAGACAGGCTGCAAACAGCTTCCAGCTCACCCCTTGGCCTCCGCCTGCCGTCCCGGAGGCAGCAAGCCCCCGATACAGGTGTCTACGGCTCTGAGTCCCCCTGGGCCTCAGTCTCTCTCCCCTACACTGAGGCCCAGTGGCCAAAACAGGCCACCTCCCAAAGAGCGAATCACCACCCTCTGACACACTATGAGGTCTACCTTTGGAGTAAAGATGCTGGCTCAGCATTTCCTTTCTTTTATTTTTCTTCTGCCTCATGGCTTGTGGGATCTTAGTTCCCTGACCAAGGATTGAACCCACGCCCTAGGCGGTGAAAGCGCAGAGTCTTCACCACTGGACCGCCAGGCAATTCCCAGCCCAGCATATCCTGTGCTGGCTACTTGTGCCCCTAGAATCCCTGCAGCTCCACCTGGGATGTAGGTCCAGACCTGACAGTCTCTTGGAGCTTCAAATCTACTCCACAGTAAAGAGTCAGACATGACTGAACGACAGGACAACAACAAAAGGATTTGAAGCATCATTTTTAGAAGGAAACTGACACAGCCACGTCATGAGGCAGGATGCAAAATCACATTTGTTTAAGACAGAACACAAGTTGTGCCCAATTCAGGTTGATGTATGGCAAAAACCATCACAATATTCTAAAGTAACTATTCTCCAATTAAATAAATTTAAAATTTTTTTAAAGATAAAACAAAAGGCCTGGAAGAAACCACTGTTGAGTGCTTACTGTATGCACAGACTTTCCCCACCCATCTTGTGCTCAGGACAACTGCGTGACGTAGGGGCTCCGGTGGTCCCCGTCTAACAGCTGGGGCGCAGAGAGGTAAAGTGACTTGCCTGAGGTCACAGAGCAAGCAGGAAGTGCTGGAGGCTTACCCTCCCTGTCTCCTCCCCAGCAACACTGGGGGAGAGTTGTCTGTGAGACATAATGCTAGAATGTTCCACAGCAGTCCAAACCCAGTTTCATGGAATTCTAGGAGTGAGGGAAGGTACACATAGGACGGCTCAGGCCCCTCTTCTCCCGCCCACCCAATCAGTCTGGTGTGTGGGCCTCTGGGGTTTCGTTTGAAGGGAAGTTTCTGCAGCTGAGGCTGAAGCAGAAGTGATACGATCGCCCATGGTAAGGGCCTGAGCCACTGGAGAGTTTGTCAGCGCCCACGGCAAGGCCCCACCCCTGGAGAAGCTCAAGGGCAGGCAAGGAGGTGAGTGCAGTGCCCCTGCCTGGAAGGAAGGGACCTCGGGCGTGCTGCGGGCCTGGCCCGGCGGTGGGGGCGGGGAGCTGGGGGCCCCGTACCTGAAGTCCTCAGATGCCAGCACCTCGTAGTAGTAGAGGAGTTTGCACCTGGGGCCGGGGCTGTGCACGGCCGTCAGGACATCCTCTGCACCCGGGAGGCTGCAGGCCGCGGGGGCAGGGGGGCTGTGCATTCGCCACTGCAGCAGGTAGACGCCAGGCCACCGGGTCACGTGGGAGCCCTGAAACAAGCAGCCAAGCCTCAGGCCCCGGTCCGCCTGGGGAGAGGGGCCCCTTTCTACACCAGCCTGCCAGCAACTCCTTCCTTTTGGGGTGTCCCAAAGTCACCTGTGCTTCCCCTCTGCTGTTACCGCATATCCATGGCAACTGAGAGCCTCCCTCTTAACCTGGTGGGGGAGTCAGGGCTAGGGGGTGCAGGAACTACAGAAGTGTGGTTTGGTTAAAAACTTGGATTTCGTCGGGCTTTCGTCATGCTGAGTGGGATTTGCAAATTGAGGAAACCTGGAGAAGGGAGTGTATGGGCTTCCCAGGAGGCTCACATGGTAAAGAACCTGCCAGTCAACACAGGAGACGCAGGTTCGATCCCCAGGTCGGGAAGATCCCCTGGAGATTCTAGCCTGGCCTGGAGAATCCCAAGAACAGAGGAGCCTGGCAGGCTATAGTCCATGGGGTCGCAAAGAGTCAGACGTGACTTAGCAACAGAGCCTACACACCCGGAGAGGGAGCTTAAAGGTGTTTAGAGTTTGCTGAGGACGGAGGGACAGCCAGACAGGAGGGTGTCAGTTTTCATAAGAGCAACTTTGTAAAAGGGCTGATGTTCAGTGGGACCCCGGGGCGGAAGATGCTGGAGTGTGATGTGACAGCCGTCTGCCCAATTCACCGATGACACCTCCAGCAAGATCACCAGTGTGTGTGTGTGTGTGTGCATGTGCGTGTATGTGTGCGTGTGTGTTTGGGGCAGTGGTGTTTGACCTGCAAGCACCATGGAGTTTGGGGGGCGGGGAGGGTGGTCAGCAGGGTGGCCCACGTTCTGGTGGCACGTCCCCGAGGGCTGTTTCCAGACCTATGGTCTCCCTGCTGCGTGGGTGCTGAAACTTGACTGTGCACAGGAAACCAGGCCGAGGCGAAGGAGGCAGACGCCAGGCCCCATGCCCAGGGCTTCTGAGCCCGCCCACGCGGCATTCTCCCTGCTGCGTGGGTGCTGAAACTTGACTGTGCACAGGAAACCAGGCCGAGGCGAAGGAGGCAGACACCAGGCCCCACGCCCAGGGCTTCTGAGCCCGCCCACGCGGCATGGGGCCAGCAACCTGCATCCTTGACAAGAGTCTCGGGAGGATGCTGAAAATGGGGCCCTGGGGTTCCAGGTCTTGGACCTGCCCGCATCTGTCTTTCTCCCCTACTGTCCTGCAGGGTCTCTGAGACTGGGGACCAAGACCAATCTATGCACTGCTGTTCCCCCAGAACCCTGGCACGTGGCGGACACTGGTCCTGTGTGATCGTGATGAATGAATAAATGACCCAAGAGATGACCTGGATGCTCTCCCCTTCCCGGCAGATGAGGGGGGCCTCCACGCAGCTGAAATCTGCACCCAGGGCCCAGCCTCTGTCCGTTAGCTGCCCGCCGGCCCTGGCCCCAGGCTCCCGGGGGCCCAGTGTGAGCGCCTGCTTGGCGTGGTACAGACTGAACACCACGTCCCCGCGGAGGATGTCGAAGTCCCAGGTGATGACTGACTCCCTCTCCAGAATCTCCACGGTCNTCCTCCTCAAGTCACGGGCACAAGAACCCTCGTCTCAGCCTCTGCTTCAGGGCCCCTGACCTAAGACGACACCCAGCCCAGCGGGCCCTCCCAGCCCGGGACCCCGGCACCTCGTGGGGGGCCCCACGGAGCACGCTGGCCGAGTGGTAGGTTTCTCTCCACTGCCGCAGCTGGTCTTCGTGCTCCTGATCCTCCTCCGTCAGATACAGGGACTTGGGGACCAGTCCTCCTTCAGGGACGTTACACTGGGGGACAAAGACACCGGGTGACAGTCAGGGCCCAGCCAGGCCTGGCTGACCCAGGGGAAGGCGCTCTATGACCCCTGAAACCACACTTACAACATGCATACGGAGCCTGACGATCGGAGAGACCTGGCAAGCTTGGCCAAATTTCTAGGAAATGTCTCTCTCTCTCTCTCTCTTTTTTAAATCCTGAAATCATGCAGGACTGCTCTTTGAGATTTTATTCATTTATTTATTTTTGGCTGCACTGGGTCTTCGTTGCTGGGTGTGGATTTTCTCTAGTTCCATCGAGTAGGGACTACTCTTTGTTGCAGTGGCTTCTCTTGTTGAGGAGCTCAAGCTTAGTTGCTCCGAGGCAAGTGGAATCTTCCCAGATCAGGGATCAAACCCATGTCCTCTGAGTTAGCAGGCAGATTATTAACCAGTGGTCCCACAAGGGAAGTCCTGTTTGTGATTTCTGCTGGAGAAGGGAAAGGACCTGCCCTCCCACATCAGATGAGATAAGGGTCACCCCCTGCCTCACCCCCAGGGGAATCAATAAAAGGGGTCTGGGGGCACCTCCCTTGGGACGTATTGCCTGATCATCCCTTGCCGTGTGGCTGTAAGTTGGGAATAAATAAGTCCCTTTGGGTACACCAGCTCCTGGGGCCAGGCCACTGGGACATTTGAGTCTCCTCCCCTTGCAATAGAGGCTGCAAAGTTAGCTAAATACTAACTGCTGCCTGGCAACCTACTGGATGAAGATACAGAGGGGTAAGCCCTTGACTGGCCTGGTCTCTGAGCTTCCGGGAAACTTCAGCTTTGCTTGAAAGCAGCAACATAAGGTCCCTCCTCCAGAGAGAAGTCACCTCTCGTAGGGGCAGCTTCTAAGACCAGCTCTGCCCTCAAAGAGCCAGCAGGGCCCTTCCCAGCTCAGAGCACGCACAAGGGGTCTGCCCTCCCCCAGCCTCCTGCCACCTGCAGCCGTGTCTCCCTGAGGCCACAGACCATCACCGCCGTGGGCGCGGAGGGCCCGCTGGGGCCTCACCAGGCACTCTCCCCCAAGGAAGTCGGGAATCACATCTTTGTCCAGATAATCGACAAGGCCTCCGGGACCCTGGTAATTGCTGCCGCTGTAGATGAGGAACTTCTGCCTGGTATTCTCGTTGATGAAGGGGCTGATCTGAAACGGGGGAGATAAGGCAGGATGGAAAGATTTTTTGTTTTTAATTGAGGTGTAACTCACAGAACATAGAGTTAACTATTGTATTTTATTATTATTATTTTTTGGCTGCCCTGCAAGGCTTTCAGGATCCTAGTTCCCTGACCAGGGATTGAACCTGCACCTGCTACAGTGGAAGCTCCAAGTCCCAACCACTGGACTATCAGGGAAATCCCAGAATTAACCATTTTAAAGTGAACAATCCTCTGGCATTTAGTTCATTCACTATGCAGTGCAGCCATCACCTCTAATTCCAAGACGTTTTCATCCCCACAAAAGGAAACCCCAGATCTGCCAGCAGTCACTCCCCTCTCCTTCCCCTTCAGCCCCTGGAAACCACCAATATGCTTCCTGTCTCTATGATTTGCCTGTTCCGAACATTTCACAGAAAGGGAATGCCACAACGTGCGGCCTTGTGTGATTGGCTTCTTTCACTGAGCCTCAGGTTTTCAAGGTTCATCCACATTGTAGCATGAATCAGAACTCCCTTTTAATGGCAGAATAATATTCCATTGTGTGGATAACCGTGTTTTGTTATCCCAGATGGAAAGTATTTCAATACTGAACTCTAAGCTGCGTGTCAGTCTGGTTTATCACGGCGTCCCCGTGCTGGGGTGGTGTCTGACTCAGTGAATAGTTGGGGAAGGTGGGGAGGGAAGGAGGGAGGCACTTGGCAGAGCAGAGCACAGGCCAATGCCGCAGGCAGAAGATTAATCGGGAGCTAGAAATCCCACTTGGGTGGGTCACACTCCTTCAGACTCCACCCCGGGAGGGGGTCCCTGTGGGCCTCAGCAAGCTGGCTCTCATCTGGTGTGGCCAGTGAGGGGGTGGTGTGGGCAGTGGGAGGTGGGTACTACTTTCCCCACTCCCTCCCTACTCCAGCGCCCCTGGAAGCACCCCCCTCACCTGTGCCAGCTCTCACGGGGCTCTCGTAATAAGGACATCCCCTCCTCTTGTCCGTCCAGCCCTGGGGTGGTCAGGGCTTGCAGCAGTGGCCAACCCCTGGGGCTGCTCCATCCTGCCCACCCTCCTGAGAGTGGGTCACACCCCCACTACAGCCAGCTGGGTGAGTCCTGCTTCTGACCAGGGCTTTGCGGAATCTCAGCTCCCCGACCAGAGACTGAACCCGGGCCACAGCGGTGAAAGCCCGGGACCCCAACCACTAGGAAATTAGGGCACTCCCAGAAAGGGTGAGCTCTATGGGAAATGAATTAAACCTCAGTCAAGCTGTTACTGAAAAGAACTGATGCAGGATTATCAGACAGGCAGATCCCAGAGGGACCCTCTCCCATCTCAGGCTCCTTGCTCTTTCTCACCAGCGTCCAGAGCACAGGGAAGACGCGGGGGGCTCGCACGATGAGCAGCCGGCCCAGGGTCTCGGGGTAATTGCCCTCCACCACCTCGATCATGCGCAGCAGGGCCTTCACCCCTGGCCGCCACAGGTGCCGCAGGCTGAGACCCTCCAGATCCACCAGGCAGGTCCAGGAGCTGTGACAGAGATGCCCGCCTCACTCCACCTCGTTCTGCCACCCCTCAGAGCCCCCAGCACCGTCTGCGGGGACCCAGGGGCCCACGGACAGGGATGGACGGAGAGTCTCGGTGAGGCAGCCGCTGGGGCAGGGACTGGGGACACTCCTGTGGACCCCCCGTGAGGAGGCCGCATGGCATTGGGGATCTCAGCGCGCACACCAAGGCCGGAGTGCCCAGATTCAAGTGCATGAGGGCTGAGTGGTGTGGGCAGAGTCCTCATCAGGACATGAGCATTGTGTTACTAATAATTGTTGAAAAGAGGCGCCTGCGTGCTAAGTCGCTTCAGTCATGTCCGACTCTTTGCGACCCCATGGACTGTAGCCCGCCAGGCTCCTCTGTCCATGGGATTCTCCAGGCAAGAATACTGGAGCAGGTTGCCATTTCCTTTTCCAGGGGATCTTTCCCACCCAGGAAGGGTCTCCCGCATTGCAGGCAGATCCTTTACTGACTAGCTGAGAGGAAATCCCTGGTATCCCCTCTTAAGTCATTCTTTTTGATAAGCCATGAGGAAACCCTAGGGCCTCCCAGGTGACACTGGTGGTAAAGTACCAATGCAGCAGACGCAAGAGACATGGGTTCGATCCCTGGGTTGGGAAGATCCCCTGGAGGAGGGCATGGCAACCCATGCCAGTATTCTTGCCTGGGAGATTCCATGAACAGAGGAGCCTGGTGGGCTACAGTCCATAGGGTCACAAAGAGTCAGACCTGATGGAGGCAATTTAGCATGCACGCAAGAAAACCCTAGGAAGTGTTTACAGAAGAGGAAGCCCCAGCTCAGAAAGGTGAAGTGCCTTTGGGGGTGACACCCCTGTGAGGACTGGTGTGGAAAACTCCACTCAGGAATAGGAGTTTGGGGCAGCCAGAGGGGGCGGCGGGTCACTGGATGAGCCCCAACACCTGCAAGGTCCACCTGCCTGGGAGATGGCCAGGGTGGATCTTGGGGGTGGGAGAGCCGATCTCAAAAAGCCAAGTCCAGGAGGCTGCGTGACACAAGCAGAAAACCTGTGAGCCGGAGCCAGCCGGGACCAAGTTCCAAGCCCAGCTGCGCCCCACCCCCACTCAGCAGCCTTGGATGACATCACCACGCTGAGCCTCTGTTCTCCCCTCCATAAAGAACAAGGACACCTAGCCTCATCAGGGTCGCTGTAAGAATTAGGGGAGGGCATCTCTGTGAAGCGTCTAGCAGACTGCCTGGCCTGGCATCCATGCGCAGTGAAGCTTGGCTGTTTTTACTGTTTGGGGGGGGGGGCGTGCCCCCACCCCCGCCCCCGGCCCAGGTTCTTGCCTGATGGGACGGCCAAACTGTTTCGTGTTCCCTTCACACCGCTTCTGTCCTTCTTCATTGACGGAAAGAATCTAGAAGGCAGAGAAGGGGCTGGCGGACGTTCTCTTGGCTGCTCCGGCCTCGGGCAACCCCAGGGTGGGGGCTCCCGGGAGCAGGGACCCCGACTCACCTGCTGCAGCAGCGCCTCCTCCCCCACAGCCTTCATCAAGCCCTTGGTGTCCATGTGGCCCAGACGCAGGATGTACAGTGGGCGGCCGTCTTTGGGGTGGGGGGAGGGAGGAGGGGACAAACAGGAGACAGAATTACATAATGCTTAGGATACATTATGCTATATGTGCATGGTCAATCGCTCAGTCACATATTGTATATGTATATAACATACTATATATATTGTGAAAGTCGCTCAGTTGTGTCCGACTCTTTACTAACCCACAGACTGTAGCCCGCCAGGCTCCTCTGTCCATAGAATTCTCCAGGCCATAAAAATGGAGTGGGTAGTCACTCCCTTCCCCAGGGGATCTTCCCAAGCCAGGGATCGAACCCAGATCTCCAGCATTGCAGGCAGATTCTTTACCATCCATCTGTGCCACCAGGGAAGCCCATATATAACATACTATATATACTGTACATATATATTAAGTTTAATATTTTATACATATTATATACATACAATCAATTCTTATTATTTGCAGTAGTTAATTTCTATAAAGTCACCTCGAATACTAAATCAGGAAACACAGAACCACTTCTACTGGGGGAGACAGGAGGTTAAGTTCCTGCCAGCCTCTGGCCATGACATTTTTGTCAGTCGACCAGTATTAACTTTGTTTTGCGTGTGTTTCTATTTGAGGACATCTTGTTTATGTTGTCGATTCATTAGTAACTCGTGCCTGAAAGGAGCTTATCAAACATTAATTTTCTCCATAAGGCACATCACAGCCTTCTTGTACTTAGGAGCATAGCACTTTCCCGTGACTCAAAATCAACACACAAAAAAAGCACAAGATGCAAAAAAACAAAAAAAGTAATGGCACTGCAGAAAGGACTGCAGAAAGGAGACTCATTTACAGTAGGAGCTGAACCAAGGAGACAGAAGGACACTTATTTGGCCTCAGGTGGGAAGGGACCCACTCTTTTGGTCACTTCGTCCATGAAGGACAGTGAAAGCACCTTGAGCATTGATTTGTGGGTTAAAAGTAAATTCTAATGAGCAGGCAAATTCACAAATACAGACTCCATGAAGAACAAAGATTGACTATATATTGAAAGCAAGTGTGCCAACCAGTTTTTCAGGAGACTCGAGCACTTGCCCTGATCAATACATATGAATTTTTAACATTTTAATTTTGAACAAGGACATTGAAAAGTGTAACAGGTGCTGGCTTCAATGGCACTTTCACTTTGAAAAACTCAGAGATGATATTTGTAGTGGGTTGCCCCAAAACTCATGTCCATCCACAACCTCAGGATGTGTCCTTGTGCGGAAATAGGTTCTTTGCTGACATGATTAGTTAAGGATCTCAAGATGAAGCCATGCTGGATCAGCTTGGGCCCAGGAGAGAGAACAGAGAGATACTGAGAGGGGGAAGGTTGTGTGACGACAGAGGCAGGGAATGGGGGTGGGGGGTGGGGAATGTGACCCCAAGCCGAGGAACGCCTGGAGCCACCAGAAGCCAGAAGAGGCAGGAAGGATCCTTCCCTAGAGCCTTCAGGGGGACCACTGCCATGCTGACACCTTGATTTTAGACTCCTTGCCCCCAGAACAATGAGAGGATGGATTTCTGTTCTTTCAGCCACCCAGTTTGAGGTCATTTGGTATGGCAGCCCCAGGACACTAACGCAGTATTCTGCAGACAATAAGTAATGATGGGCTGCCCCTGCCCCTGGGAGAACCATCTCATCTCAAGCCCAAATGTCTACCCCAGCTCCACCTTCACATTGGCTGTCATCTCAAAGGCATCTCCAGATGCCCAGAAGAACCAAAAGGAAAAATAACAAGATGCTAATAGAAGAGGGGCATTCAAAGCGCCTTCAGTGGTGACCCCAGCATGCCCTCTCCGTCATGCAGGTAAGGGACGCACCTACGTCATGGTAGTGCCAGCCCCCGGCGTAGAACTCCTCCAGGAGGGCGGGGGGTCGCCAGGTCTCTAGGAGGAGGTCCACCTGGTGCTGCTCTCGCCAGCTCAAGGACTGGCACAGCATCTCGCGGGCCCTGTCCAGGTGGAAGTCTCGAGCCCGCAGGAAGCGAAGGATGTGTTCATCTTTGGGGATCTGAGGGGAGAAGGAGGAGAACGCCCTTAGCAAGGTATTCCCTAAACTGAGATTGTCACTTGTAATTTGGTCCTGTGTGTGTGTGTGTGTTTGTGCACACGCACGCACATGTGCACTAATATTGTGCCCATTTTACAGATGAGAAAACAAGCTCCCAACCCAACACTAAAGTAATTCCCTTGTCTGCCTGCCCAGTAGGGGGAGGTGAGGAAGGGCGAGCAACTCATAACGAGGCTGGAAGCTCTTATTCAACAGAGCTGAAGGTCAGGACCTACCTGCATGGTGGACCATGATGTTGGAGGCTTAGAGTCTAAAGACAACGTTCACGTGCAGTCAAAAATCAACCCTCCCAAGCCATTAAATCTCTTGGTGGAGGGCTTCCCTGGTGGCTCAGTGGTGAAGAATTCCCCTACCAGTGCAGGAGACATGGGTTCAATCCCCACTCCAGGGAGATCTCACGTGCCACGGGGCAGCTGAGCCAGTGCTCCAGAGCCCAGGAGCTGCAACGACTGAAGCCCACGTGCCCCAGAGCCCGTGCTCTGCGGCAAGAGAGGCCACTGCAATGAGAGGCCCGCACATTGCAGCTAGAGGGTGGCCCCTGCTCGCCTCAACTAGGGAAAAGTCCATGCAGTAATAAAGACCCAGAACAGCCAAAAATAAATAAAACTTTAAAACAAATTGTTAAGATGGTAAATTTTTTAAAAAATCTCTTAGAAAAGAACAGTATGCATGGTTTTGTAAACATAGGGCTACAGAGCAGTGACTGGGCTCCCCAGGGGACACTGGCGAGGGCTGGAGCCACTTTTTGTTTTCAAAGCTGGGGGAGAAGAGCCCCTGTCCTCTCGTGGGTGAAGGCCAGGAATGCTGCTCGACACCCTATGTACACAGGACAGCCCCCCATAAAGAGCTGTCCGGCCTCAAATGTCAACTGTGCCGAGACTGGGAAACACTGCTATCAGTGCTATGTACAGAAAGCACGAGACAGGATACAATAAAAAGAAGGTGAGATAGAAGTGGCCGGCATTGCTAATCACCCAGCCTTGCATACCTGGCCCATCCTGCCCACCCCGTGCCCGAGGATGAGAGGCTGCAGCCCCAGTCCCCACCCACCTTGCCTTTGTGGGTCTCCTGCAGCCAGCGTCTCAGCTGGACCAGGCAGCTCTCCTGCATGGGTGTGAGATGGCCCAGGCACCTCTCAATGTAGTCCGCGTCCAGCTTGTCCTCTGGAGGAGAAGAGGGGGTTCAGAACAAGCAGGAGACACTGCACTGTCTACCCTTTCTGGAACCCTCGCTGCACTGGCCGATTTAGAATCTGAAATGTAGTTCCAAGGGTAGGGCAGTCCTTTCACCAAAGAGCCGCTGGTCTTCAGATCTTCTAGAGTTTCCAACCCATTTGCAAGGCGATCTGAAAACTCAGGCCAGGGCTGGATCTCACCGTGGTGAGTGATATGCCCCTTTGACTCTCGGAAATCAAGATCATTCCTACCCTCTGGGAATGTCAGTTGGTGCAGCCACTATGGAAAACAGTGTGGAGGTTCCCCAGGAGACTCAGTGTAGAGTCACGATGTGATCCAGCAATCCCACTCCTGGGCATACACACAGACAGAACTCTAATTCAAAAAGATACATGCACCCCAGTGTTCATTGCAGCACTATTCACAATAGCCAAGACATGGAAACAAACCTAAATGTCCATCGACAGATGAATGGATAAAGAAGATGTGGTACATATATACAATGGAGTATTATTCAGCCATTAAAAAACAACAAAATAATACCATTTACAGCAACAGGGATGCAACTAGAGAATATCATACTAAGTGAAATAAGTCAGAAAGAGAAAGACAAGGGCTTCCCCAGTGGCTCAGGAGTAAAGAATCACTTGCAATACAGGAGCTGCAGGAGATGAGGGTTCGATCCCTGTGTCAGGGATATCTCCTGGGGGAGGATTATGGTAACCCATGCTAGTAAAAAAAAAAAGAAAGACAAATAAAATATGGTATCACTTATATGCGGAATCTAAAATATGACACAAATTAACCTATTTGCAAAACAGAAACAGACGTAGAGAACAGATTTATGGTTTCCAGGGGGGAGAGAGGGAGGAAGAGGGATGGACTGAAAATTTGCGGTTAGCAGATGTGAACTATAATATTTATTTTTGTATTTGTTTTATTTAGGCCATACCATGTGGGATATTGGGCTTCCCTAGTAGCTCAACTGGTAAAGAATCTGCCTGCAATGCAGGAGACCTGGGTTTGATCCCAGGGTTGAGAAGATCCCCTGGAGAAGGAATGGCTACCCACTCCAGTATTCTTGCCTGGAGAATTCCACAGACAGAGGAGCCTGGTGGGCTACAGTCCATGGGGTTGCAAAGAGTCAGACACAACTGAGCAACGTTCACCTTCATGTGGGATCTTAGTTCCCCGAACAGGGATGGAACCCACATCCCCTGCACAGGAAGGCAGATTCTTAACCACTGGACCACGAGGGAGGTCCCACTGTCATCCACTCTTAACTGCTGGGGTGGCGGATGCCGGCACGGTGAGGCATATGGGCATCCTTGACCCTCAGCACTGGGTGGAGATGGTCCACAAAGCACCGGCTCTGTGGGCACAGCCCTTCCTCCACGTGTGGAGGGCACAGTCAGAAAACAAACGGAATGACTGCACACCCAGCGGCAGGACCCAGCATTTCCCCCAGAACAAAAAGAGCTCAGGGCTGGTGGTCATGACAACTGTGCCAGTAGGCACCTGGGTAAACGGATGCTGCGAGGGGAACCACCCAGACTCTGCAACCCCTCAGAGTGGTCAGAAGTGGAGATGCTGCAGATGGGGAGAGGGCAAGGCGGGGATGAGGGAGGAAACACAGGTGAGGCAGAAGATACCAGCTTCCTTCTGGCACGGTGAGGCATATGGGCATCCTTGACCCTCAGCACTGGGTGGAGATGGTCCACAAAGCACCGGCTCTGTGGGCACAGCCCTTCCTCCACGTGTGGAGGGCACAGTCAGAAAACAAACGGAATGACTGCACACCCAGCGGCAGGACCCAGCATTTCCCCCAGAACAAAAAGAGCTCAGGGCTGGTGGTCATGACAACTGCGCCAGTAGGCACCTGGGTAAACGGATGCTGCGAGGGGAACCACCCAGACTCTGTAACCCCTCAGAGTGGTCAGAAGTGGAGATGCTGCAGATGGGGAGAGGGCAAGGCGGGGATGAGGGAGGAAACACAGGTGAGGCAGAAGATACCAGCTTCCTTCTGGCCTCCAGGAAGACGTGAGGCCCTTTCTCCTGAGCACAAATGCTCAGTGATAGAGAGTGTGGAAGGGGCAGGACCCTGCCTCCCACCAGCCATCCTGAGAACCAGCACTGCTGGTGGACAGCATGGACAGAGAAGGAAGGGGAGGTCTGGTGCAAAAAGGGGAGAGTGCAGGGCATGACCTGCAGAGTGTACACAGGAAGGAGCAGAAGAAGTGCAGGTATTGTATAAATTTTTTTACATGTTTTAAAAGCACATGTACAACAGCACCCAGCTAGGGCACACAGCTGGTGCAGAATAAACACTGGTTGAATGAACGAATTTTGTTGTCCCTAAACACAGCCCCCCAGATATATTTTTGGTTACATGATATATCTCTGCATCAGGCAAGCCCTTACACTTCAATGGCCCCAAAGAGAAAACAATCATTGTGAGTATTAGTGCATACGGTTAAAACTGGATTCATGGGGCATGTGCAGTTTTGTGTCCCAGGTATTTTCCTTTAACAAATTATTGTGAACATTTTCCAGGTCAATAAAAGTCAGGAATATGACAAAAGGCTAATTGCTTTAATTGCTTTAATATGCCAAGAGTTCTCACAAAACAATAAGATATTGATGAGAAAATAGGAAAATGGATATAGGACAAAAAAAGAAATTCACACACACACAAGAAAAAAAGAAGAAGAAGAAAGGAAAGAAAAAACAGTCACCAAACATGAAAAAATAAAACTTGACCTCATTCATAAAGAAGAAATGGTCACTAATTCACCAGTGGTCAGTCTGCCTTTCAGAAGTTTAAAACATTTACTAATAGTCTTGGGGTAGCTGGGCTGAAATCAGGAACAGATGCAGCTACTCATTTTTGGTGGAAACATTGATTAGCACAACCTTTTGCAGGCCTAATTGATAAATGTACCAAAATTTTAGTTGCCTATAACATTTGACTCAGCAAATCAACTTTTAAAATTATATGCTATATACATGTGCATGCAAATATATTTTTATGCAAATATTTTTTACAACCTTAAGCACAAAGAGGTACCACATTATTTGTATTTAATATTAGAACGGAGAGATTTCCCTGGCAGTTAGTTCAGTTACAACTCCATGCTTGGGGCTTCCCTGGTAGCTCAGAGGTTCAAAGAATCACATGTCTCAGAGCAACTGAGCCCATAGGCCACAACAACTGACGTGAGCTCTAGAGACTGTGCTCAACAACAGGAGAAGCCACTGCAGTGAGAAGCCCACAAATAGAGAGCAGCCCCCACTTGCTACAACTAGAGAAAAGCCCGGGCAGCAACGAAGACCCAGCACAGCCAAAACAAAAAAATAAAATAAAGACTCTGTGCTTCCGCTGCAGGGGGCATAGGTTCTCTCCCCGGTCAGGAACACATGCTACATGGTTACAAGGGGGGGGGGGGGGGGGGGGGTGCAATGGGCTGCGATGCACACAGCCCAGGGCCGGGCGCACGCCAGTCCCAGCAGTGGTCGTCGTCTCCTCCGGCCAATCCTGGGCCACCTCCACATGTGTCTTCCTTTTGCAAAACCCCACATCCTTCCTTCTGAGGCACCACCCACTCAGGTGTTCCCTAGCCCAGCGTTCTGCAGAGCATGGCCACAGGCCATTCATGGGGCTGGGGCGATGGTCAAAATGCAGATTCCAGGCCCTGCCCCTGACCCATGGAATCAGGACCCTGGGAGCAGACCCTGGAGTCTACACTGTAGAACCACCCAAACTGGGGTCCGAGAGCCGCCGCCCTGACCTGAGCCAGACTCTGGCTTTGGTGCCCATTTCTGAGCCTGCCGTGAGGTGGAAAGTTGGCTGGATCTCCAAGAGTTTGGGTGCGGTCTGGATGGACGCTCACAAGGCTCCCAAAGGCAGACACCCACTGATGTAAGCTTCTGGGTACCAGTCCCACAGCGAGAAAAGCATGCCTGCCCAGAGCACTGCCCTTAATACCCTTCCCAAAAAAAGCCAAGGGTGACACATCACTGGGGTGGACGCTCTCCTCAATCTGTCAACACCAGTTTTCATCACACCCAGCATCAGACAGCACCAGCAAGGGGAGAGGGCCGGTATCTCCGAGCGGGATGCTCTGTGCCTGCAATCACTCTCATAACTATGAGAGAGGACCCGGATCCTGGCACCACCTCCTCCGTGTCTCAGCCATGTGACCTTGGGCAAGTCACCTAACCTTGCAGAGATCAAACACTGAGATACAAAACAAGAGATGGAAAAATCCCCGTTGATCTATCCTCCTTCATTTATCTCCTAGACTTCCAGCCACTTCACTTTATTTTCTACTTTTGAGGTTTTTCCATTTTGCAAATTGCTAATTGTAGGAATAATACTTGCCTAGAGAAGAGCACCAGAAGTTTAAAGACAAAATCTACAGAAGCAGGAAAGAATTAGCCACAGTGCCACCACTCAAGAAGAGCCCTGTGAACATCTTGTTATATTTCCTCCAACCTTTTCCTAAATACATCTTCCATGGCTGAGAGCAAATCATACATAAGCAATTATGTAGCCTTCTTTTTTCTACTTATAAGAAAGTGCTGTGCCACTATATTGCCAATAGAAATTCTTCATAAACATTTTTAATTCTTCATAAACTTCAAGTAGATGAGCCATAATTTCTTTACTTAAATAGGCTAACTAGGAAATCCACTGATCTCCAGTTTGTCTCTGTTGCTAATAACCATTTGTGTTTTAGCCAAAAGCACACTGTTTCTGGCCCTTGGTATTTTATTTGTATCACATAGAAAGACCAGAAACCAGTGAGATGCCTGAACTTGGGCTGAGCACTGCAAGAGATTCAACAATGAAGATCCCTCATTGTCCCCCCTACCTCTGAGGGCAGCACCTAGTGAGAACCTTCTTCCCAGGCATGCCCATCTTCTAGGGAGGATCAACCCCATTTTCCTGGATGCAGACACATGCTTAGAGAGGTCAAGCGATTTGCCCCAGGTCACACAGCTAGTATGACGCCAAAGTCCCAGATATTCTCATGCTAATGGTCACAGTCA